CAAAAAACTACAAATAGAACTACCATATGACCCAGCAATCCCACTACTGGGCATATACCCTGAGAAAACCAAAATTCAAAAAGAGTCATGTACCAAAATGTTCATTGCAGCTCTATTTACAACAGCCCGGAGATGGAAACAACCTAAGTGCCCATCATTGGATGAATGGATAAAGAAGATGTGGCACATATATACAATGGAATATTACTCAGCCATAAAAAGAAACGAAATTGAGCTATTTGTAATGAGGTGGATAGACCTAGAGTCTGTCATACAGAGTGAAGTAAGTCAGAAAGAAAAAGACAAAATACCGTATGCTAACACATATCTATGGAATTTAAGAAAAAAAAATGTCATGAAGAACCTAGGGGTAAGACAGGAATAAAGACACAGACCTACTGGAGAACGGACTTGAGGTATGGGGAGGGGGAAGGGTGAGCTGTGACAGGGCGAGAGAGAGGCATGGACATATATACACTAACAAACGTAAGGTACCTTACATGGGAAGCAGCCGCATGGCACAGGGATATCGGCTCGGTGCTTTTGTGACCGCCTGGAGGGCGGGAGGATGGGAGGATGGGAGGGAGGGAGACGCAAGAGGGAGGAGATATGGGAACATATGTATATGTATAACTGATTCACTTTGTTATAAAGCAGAAACTAACACACCATTGTAAAGCAATTATACCCCAATAAAGATGTTATAAAAAACAACAACAACAACAACGACAACTCAGTTTTCTTATCTGTAAAAAGGGGATGGTAACCAGAAAAACTACTATTTTTTGAATTGAGGTAATATATATAAAGCAGTTAGTACAGTGCCTGGAAGGTGTCATGGAAAGCACTTAATAGATGTTAACACCCTCCACCAATTGTTTCACCTTGTTTATCTCATTTCCCATTACTTGACACCCCAGCCTTTTTGCACCATTCTAGCAAATATATTTACACACACATGCACACATTTCACTTAATTTGACAACATTCTTCACTTGTGCAACATCCTCTTTTAACCTTATTATTCAAAGGAAAAAATGTCCAGCATTCACTTATTTCATGGGTAATGAAACTTGCATTATTTCCACCAAACTTCACCTTGACGTATATAATACCTCCCCAGCTGTGTTTTAAAAATCCTAACCACAACCTATAAATCAGTAAGCACCGTCCAGTGCTGCAGTCCTACTTGGAGCATTCTACCTCATATGGCTCTCTCCTCCATTTCTTTCAGAGTTCTGCACAAATGTCCCTCTCTGAGTGAAATGACAATTCCTCCCCCTCTGCCCCAGCACTCCCTCTCTCCTTCCCTACTTAATTTTCACCATAGCTTTGTTTTTTTGTTTTGTTTTGTTTTTTGGTTTTGGCCGCACCTCACGGCATGCAGGATCTTATTTCCCCAACCAGGGATCGAACCTGTGCCCCGTGCAGTGGAAGTGCTGAGTTTTAACCACTGGACCACCAGGGAAGTCCAATTTTCACCACAGCATTTAACTGCACTTGACATATTATTTGTCTGTGTTTTCCACCAGAATATAAGCTCCAAGGGAGCATAAGGGGACTGTCTGCTTTGTTCCCTGTTGTATCTCATGTCCCTTGTAGATGCTCAACAGATAAATAATATTGGTAGACTAAACGTTAAGCGAAGGTTGTGCCCGTGATCTCCAACTGCCAAGAACATTGGTTTTTTTTTTTTGTTTTTTTTTTTTGGTGCTTAAGCCCCTCAACCCACTTACAGCTTACAAAAAGAATATCCAGTTTTTGACATCCCCCCCTTTCCAGTGGATTCTATATCACTACAAAAGATGCTGAAAATTCACACTCTTGGTGCACAGGCATATTTTGATTGGCTCATAGAAAATGCTTAAAATTTTTAAGCTGGATGCCAACATTTTATTTTTTTGTTTGTTTTTTGGGTTTTTTTTTGGCCGCACCACATGGCACGTGGCATCTTAGTTCCCCAACTAGGGATCAAACCCACGCCCCCTGCATTGGAAGTGCAGAGTCTTAACCACTGGACCGCCAGGGAAGTCCCGATGATGCCAACTTTTTCAATGGGCAAATTAATAAACAATTCTGGATTTCTGGATTCTCTTGATCAGATTTTTCAGAGAACAGTATTCTAGGAAGGCAACAATCTGCTGGAGCTAAGACAGAGCTATCTAGATCGCCAGAGTGCCCACCCGGTTCCTACGGCTTACTGCATTACCTATATTCCTGTAGGTATGAGTTGAAGACTTCTGATGTAAATCCTCTCCTATTTCCCTTTCATTACACTTGTTAGTACAGAATCCACTTACCTGCTGCTTGAACTACTGTGACAATCTAATTAATGTCCTTATCTCATCTTAGCCCTCAATTTCTAATCACCTCCCTACTCAAAAACTGTCACTGTTTATTTTTATCTATAGTTCAAATTATTTAGTTTTGCATTCCAGGCCCCCCTCATCCGGTCTTCCCCAGGAAATCTTTTCCAATTTTATATTCTGATTCCCCTTCAGCCCATCTTTCATGAACTATATTCATACACTTCCTTTTCCAGCTCCAATTCCCTCCCTGGTTCTGTTTATCTAACCTTCAAGGCCCAGGCACTCCATAAAGCATCCCCCAATTCCCATGCCCACACACAACCTCCCTAGACCTATCTGCCTACTCTGGACCTTCTGAATTCTCCATAACTTATCTGTTCCATTTTCTACACATTTTGTTACAACTTTCCAATCATGTACTTGCACAAGCACTTAATAGTTATTGAATAAATGAATTTATTCCATCTATAATAACTTTGTTCATACTGGAATTCTTTCAACACTTGTTTTGTCACTTGTTGTGTTACGCTGGGACATGCATGAGGACAACACTGCCCCCAAAGGAGTGAAAATGGATTCCTGCAGAGCAGGGAGAGGGCAAAAAACCCTAGATATTAAAAAAAAGGGAAAAAAAAAAAGGTTTCTGGCCCTCCAAAGGTCCGTGGAACATAAAGAGACATACAGTATATCAGTGTTATTACAACTTCATGGTTGGGATTAGAGGGGAAAATGTCTTTTTAAGTCTCCTGGAGAGGGGAAGACAACAATGAAAACAATTGAGAAACAGTATCCAGGGATCATGCCATTTGTTTCCTGTGTATTTGCTTGCCCGCCAAATTCCCAGAGAAGAGCGTGAGGACAGCAGTAAAGCAGAGTGATCAAAAGTGCACGCTCTCGGGCTTCCCTGGTGGCACAGTGCTTAAGAATCCGCCTGCCAACCCAGGGGACATGGGTTCGAGCCCTGGCCCGGGAAGATCCCACATGCTACGGAGCAACTAAGCCTGTGCGCTACAATTACTGAGCCTGCGCTCTAGAGCCTGCGAGCCACAACTACTGAGCCCATGTGCCTAGAGCCTGTGCTCCTCAACAAGAGAAGCCACCGCAATGAGAAGCCCGCTTGCCGCAATCAGAGGAAAGCCCACGAGCAGCAACAAAGACCCATGCAGCCAAAAATAAAAAATAAAAAGTGCAGGCTCTGGAATCAGACTGCCTGGATTTGTACGTGGGCTCTGATATTTCTTAGCTGGATAACACTGAGCAAGTTAATTAACCTCTCTGGACCTCAGGTTTCTCATCCCTAACATTACCTAATATCTCCTCCTAGGGTTGTAGTATTAGGTGAGGTCATACAGGAGAGCACACAGTAAGAGCTTAATAAATGACTATAAAATGTACATGTATAAAAATTTTTTTAAACGCACATGTACCCTAGGTGTTCACCACAAACGATTAATAAATTGATGCTGGTTGGCCTCAATAACAAGTGTATACAGGTGACTGGAACTGCCTCGCCAATCAGGCGGGAGCTGGAGGCTGCTCTGCAAGAGGTCTTTACACCTAGATTCCCTCATCTATAAAATGCGTGTACTGTACCAACCTCTCTTTTGGGATCTGGAGAACTGAAATATAATCATTTCACGTAATGTGCTTAAAGCGGCACTTCAAATATCAGCTAATATTAGCCCTACTGCAAGCCAAGCTCCTAGTAAAATCGGACTGGACAGCAGGACAGAGGTGGCCAGTTAGAGAAAACATCCTAAGACTGTTATAAAATTTCAAAAGCACCTACGGCCTGATTCACTTTCCCGAAACGGCTCCACGCAAGGGCCCTCCACTCGAGCTCGGCCCGGGGCCCGGTAGTACCTGAGTCGCCCCCCATGCTGGGACCCTGAGGACCAGACCCAGAATGCTCGTTGGGCGGCTGGCGTGGAACCGAGACGACGCCGGCCGAGGGTTCATGAGGTTCGCGGTCCATGGTGTCGGACCCTGCACGCGGGTTTAGGATGTGTGTGCGCGCAAGAAGGGGGGCGGGTCTCAGGGAAGGGAGGGGGGGCAGGCAGCTGTGACCGAGACGGGGCGTCAGTCCAGGATCCGCGGGAAACCGGGAACTCGTCGCCTCAGTCCCACAGCCGCAGTAGAGTCCCCGCCGCGGCACGTTAGGCGCACCTGCACAACCCCTAAGGCACATGCGCACCGCTTTCGCGCCGCCGCGTCAGGGAACGCACAGCCTCCCCCTCCCACCCGACCCGGGCTTCCTCTGGAAATCTTTACCCACGAGCCACCAGGCTCGCACGCCCTCTCTTTCTGCGCTTGCGCCTGTCATAGTCCCGCCCCCAAATCCCGTGGACCTCTGCGAGATGCTACTTAAGCGTCTCTCGGTAGGCTTTCGGTCTCATTCTTCCACAGATTTCGGTAAGTGTGTGTGTTTGACTGCACTTTAAAAAAAAAAAAAAATGACCACGAGAACGTGCCCGCGCCTTGGCGTCTCTCAGTTGCATGTATTGGGTTCGTGGGGCAGGGGAGAGAAAAACATGGCCATGGCATTGAGGCCTTGAAGCGACAGGGGCTTTGTGAAGGACAACATGGCGATGAGGGGCGGTGCCGACGGGCCTCTCTGTGATGAGAGTCTTTTCACAGACCTGTGCTGAGCTCCGTGAGGATAAGAAACTCTGAGGAGACAGGCCTTGCACGGCCGACACAGTCTTAGCTCCGGAAAACAAAGCGTTTACGAGATAGCCTAGTGCTGACCTGATGTTCTCTTGTCTTCAGGGTTCGGGCGCGCGTCGAGCACTAAAGGATAGCAAAGAGTTCTCGTTACAGTAAGTGCTCGTGGCGTGCCTTTACCACCTTTATTTTTTTGGTTTAATTGTTGGATATACGGAAGTCCACCGGGATGTGCTACGGGGATGATCTCAAAAGTTGAACTCTCTCTTTCTGATGAATTAGTGGAGAAAACATAAGAATTCTGAGTAGCACTGTTTGTGGCCAATGTTTGGGCTCTTTATCCCTGAGGTGTTAAGGGACTGACGTGGGACAGTTAGGCTACGAGACATAAAAGTGAAGGGTGTTCTTTGTTTTTTTTTTCCCAGATGTGGTTTAAATCAAAAGACCTTATGGGTGGGAGGATGGGACAAGACCTGTCCCTGTGTGGATCAAGCATTATGGCGATGCTCCAGGTGGGTATACGATGCTTTATGCAATTACGGGTAGGGGCACAGAATCTGGATGGGACTTGCTGCTTCAGATTGCGCTGGCCACTCCATGATGAACGTAAAATGACAAGCATATGCCTGAACTCAAAAGTGATGTCACCTTACTACTGAGAAGTGGGCCCCAAATACTCAAGGGCCTTGAATGGCTATTCTTAGGTACATCTAATGCCTCCCTTTTCTGTCTCCAGCATCTCATCACCAATCCTAAGGAATTCAGCTACCTCCCAGGGTGAATGCAGGTAATTTTGCAAATGGGGGGGTTAGGGTGTAGTCTGTCTGGTGTTCCCCACAACCAGGAGAGCAAACGGTCAGTGGAGCAGTGTTGCCTTTTTGCTCCTTCCAGCTTGTTCCTCTTGGAATGATATTCCTGGGGAGGGAGATGGCAGCCCAGCAAGCGGCACAGTTGGTTCTTGTGATGGTGTGCTCTTCCCTCACCCACATGTCACTGTCAGATGATTTGAATGATAATGCTGATTCTCTGTGAGGTACGACATTTAATAGCATGTTAGAGTTCTGATGGCAGTTTCTGTTAATGAAGAAATTTTATTCCATCCTAGTGTTTTGAAATAACCATTTGCTGCCCTTTTGCAGGTTGTCCTCATTGTGATGTATACATCTGTCTTACAGTAAGTTACTTTTCCCAATGTTGTAAGTTAGGTTATATGTGAGCCTTGATGACTCTCTGGGCTTGGGGGGGGGTGTTGTTGTAAAAGCCCTGATTGATCCGTGTAACTTTTTGGTTTCTTTTGTTCCTTATAGTGATGTTTCTTGATCTTTTATCTTTCTTTTTTTTTTAATATTTACTTCTTTATTTGGCTGTGTCGGGTCCTAGTTGTGGCACGCAGGCTCTAGAGCCCTCGTTGCCCCGCGGCATGTGGGATGTCAGTTCCCCTACCGGGGATCAAACCATTGTCCCCTGCATTGGAAGGCACATTCTCAACACTGGACCACCAGGGAAGTCCCTTATTTTATTTTTCTTGTTTCCTAGATGCCTCTTGATCTGCTCAGGGTCAAACTCCTGGAAAGAGTTGAGAATCGTGAGTACTTGTAACCTTTCTGGTTGTAGCTTGTTTCCAGTGCCAGTGAGGAGAGCAAGCATTCTGTCTTACGCCTGTTCTAGCCCCAGAGCCAGTAATGGTGAACCCACTGGGGCTAACGGGGAGAGGGGATGAAAGCTTGTTCCATAAGGAAGTGTCTGGGGTGCAGCAAATGCCCGCGGATATCACTTGCTTAGCTTTTCTTGGTTTATCCATTAACCCCAGCTGGAATAATTCTGGCTATGTTGCTAATTACATGACGTTCTCATTCAGGAGCAGCTTGTTCCTTGTTCCTGTATTACTCCTGGAAAGCCTCCCGAGTTGAAAGGTTAGTTGATTAATGCCTGTATGGCATATATCACCAAGTAAGCAGTTTCTATGATGAATCAGACTAGCTCACTATGACTTAAATAATGAGAAGATTTGAACACCTGAGAAACTGGAGAAGACAGCAGTGGGATACTGTCTGTAAGGAGCTTGTATCACTCACAGCTTTATCCTTCCCTAGGTACCATTGCCAGTTACCTGCTTCTTTGCTCAAAGGTGAGTGTTTTTCATATGCGTTGGTGCATACAGTGTATTGAGTAGGAAAAAATGCCTTTTTCGGCATGTCTGTATGATGACTTACATGGAATCTCGTTCGGCTGACGATTTGCTGTTGAGACTCGGAAATCTGATTTTCTAGGAACCATAGCTTAGGTGGGAACAACTTTTAATGCAGGAATTAAGCTTACTGATTCAGTCTTGTTTTTGTTTTAGGTCCAATTCCTTGTCTGGAGCCTGAGAATGAATTGAGGTAAATCTGTCATCTGTGGCTACTATATAGAATTTGCCAGGGTTTTTTGTGGCACTTTGGATAGCTGTGCAGACATTACTTGTTTAATCCAAAGTTTGTCTTTGGCCATTTGTGAACCACCTGTGACAGATTTCCACTCACCAGTGATGAGTTCAGTACCGCCCCAGTCTGATCACTATGACTGAAAGGTATTTTCTGAGCTGTGAGTTTGCCTTGGAGTGAAAGGTGACAATAGTGGGAAGTTGGGTGGGCTTTATAGCCAATAGGAAGCTTTGTGGACTAGGTGGTGGTTTCTATCAAAATGTCTGTTGAGACCTACATAGATGTGCCTTTTGTCTCGGGGTGGTTTAGAGACTTAGTTCCCAATCGTTCTTTCGCAGGGGAAAGGAGTAAGCCATATTTCTGTTCAACTCCAGTCTGAAGCTAAGAGGTGAGTAAATGTAAACACAAGGTGGGTCAAGTTAAAATTTCCCAGTGAAGAAATATTCACATGTCTTACTTCCTGTCCTAGTCCCAGAGCCTGTAAAGGTGAACCCACTGGGGCTGGCTGGGGGAGAAGAGGAAAGCTTGTTCCAGAAGGAACTGTCTGAGGGATCATAAGAATTTCTAAACAAGGCAAAGGAGGGAATAAATTACTGGTTGAAAATCGGTTGTGTTTTTTTTTTTCCTTCAGGTCTGAAGAAAGAACAAAGCACACATAATGGTAAGTATCTATTCATGTACTTATGTTACATATTTAATAGAGTAACCATGATAAATAGAAAAGTATCTGGAAGCAGTCCTTTTAATGTTAGCTGGTTTAAAGGATAGCCCTTCTAAACCCATGTGGTATATACTTTTCCATATGGTAAGAAAACTCAACTTTTTTTTTTTCTCTACAGGAGTCCAACTCTCAAAGGATATCAAAAATGGAATTTTCTTATACAACCTACCTGTTCAAATTAGCATACAATCATTTTAGCCTTTCTAAATAAAACTTTTTGTTTTTTTAAACCTTCACTGATTCCTGTGTTTGAGTGGGTCTAGCTGGACAGAAGGAGATAATCCCAGAAAGATTGTTACTGGCTTTACCCTGTTTAAGCTTGGCAGTTTGCCGAATGCTGAATTGTCTAACCCAGGGAGCCTTCTTACACCTTTAAGGAGTTTTTCCTTCTCTCTGTACTTTGCTGAGGAGTTCTATATGAATGTTTGCTGGTTTTGGGTGACCCTTTAACCTTTAGCTGTGCCCTAAAACTTTATACTAGACTTTTCTCAATAAAATACGTTTTGTGTCAGGAGTATAGTAAAGTAAAAGGCAATTTAACTGAAAGAAAATGCATTTTTGCTAATTAAATCGTAGCCATACAGTAATAAGAATGGTCAACATAGTAATTATAGCCACAAGAATGAAAGGGTTGGTCCAAGTAAGAGAAGGCACACCGAGGAAGCACCTGTATTTAAAGGTGGGAGGAACAGCAGAGGACAAACCCAGAATGAGGCACTGCAAGCAGTAAGAGAGCCTGCAGTGCTGACCTGTAAACCCGAGGGAAGAGAGCACCATGAGAGGTGTTTGGTAGATAATGAAGCCTTCCTCAAGCAATATTATCACCATGTGGCAAATAGGAATTCAAATTAAGGCCCAGTTACTTAAGAGATGAAAGAAATGAGTCTGGGACAATCTGGAGAAATGGGGGAGAGCTCCAAAATGAGGGGGACCCTCAGTCCTTCCATACAATGACGACTCAGTCTATGATATTTCTAGCCTGGACTTCTGCAACCTGCCCCTGACCTGATAACCAGTCAGACATTCAGACCTTGATTCCATGTCGTTCCTCTCCAGTCTCCCCACTTCAGTAAGTGTCAGCAGTGCCAACATGTTGCTCCATCCCAAACATAGCAGTGTACTTGCTGGGAGAGCCAAGGCCCTGCTCTTGCTTTTGCTGACTGATGTTTGGTTACATTCTAGAGGAAGAGGAGGAGGCAGAATGAGAGCCAACAAACAAGGTTATTTGAAATAGCAGAGTGGTTCTCAACCAGGCGTGATTTTGCCCCCTGGGGAACATTAAAAAATGTCTGGAAAAAAACAAAAAAACAAAAAAAATGTCTGGAGACACTTCTGGTTGTCACAGTTTTTTGTGGGGGGTGGTGGGTAGGCTATACTACTATCTAGTGGGTAGAGGCCAAGGATGCTGCTAAACACCCTACAATTAATAGGACAGCCCCAACTCCCCAAACAAAATGTCAATAGTGCTGAGTTTTCAGGCACCCTGAGATAAATGCCGACAAAGAATAGGAGTCGGCCTTCCCTGGTGGCGCAGTGGTTTAAGAATCCTCCTGCCAATGCAGGGGACACGGGTTCAAGTCCTGGTCCGGGATGCCACGGAGCAAGTAAGCCCGTGAGCCTAGAGCCCGTGCTCAGCAACAAGAGGAACCACCACAATGAGAAGCCCGAGCACGGCAACGGCAACGAAAAGTAGCCCCTGCTCGCCGCAACTAGAGAAAGCCCGTGCGCTGAAACGAAGACCCAACGCAGCCAAAAAAAAAAAAGCTTGATCCCTGGTTGGGGAGCTATAATATCACATGCCTCGCGGCCAAAAAACCAAAACATAAAACAAGCAATATTGTAACAAATTCAATAAAGACTTAAAAAAATGGTCCACATGGGCTTCCCATGGTGGCGCAGTGGTTGAAAGTTCGCCTGCCGATGCAGGGGACACGGGTTCGTGCCCCGGTCCGGGAAGATCCCACATGCCGCAGAGCGGCTGGGCCCGTGAGCCATGGCCGCTGAGCCTGCGCGTCTGGAGCCTGTGCTCTGCAAAGGGAGAGGCCACAACAGTGAGAGGCCCGCATACCGTAAAAAATAAAAAATAAAAAAATGAAAAATTGTCCACGTCAAAAAATCTTTCTTTTTAAAATTTATTTATTTTTGGCTGTGTTGGGTTTTAATTGCTGCGTGTGGGCCTTCTCTAGTTGCGGCGAGCGGGGGCTACTCTTCATTGTGGTGCCTGGGCTCCTCATGCAGTGGCTTCTCGTTGTGGAGCACGGGCTCTAGGCACGCGGGCTTCAGTAGTTGTGGCATGCGGGCTCAGTAGTTGTGTCTCGGGCTCTAGAGCTCAGGCTCAGTAGTTGTGGCTCATGGGCTTAGTTGCTCCGCGGCATGTGGGATCTTCCCAGACCAGGGCTCGAACCTGTGTCCCCTGCATTGGCAGGCGGATTCTTAACCACTGCGCCACCAGGGAAGTCCACGTCAAAAAAATCTTAAAAAAAAAAATTACATCACCTAACCTGCTGTGCCTCAGTTTCTCCATCTGTAAAAGAGGGAAGATGATAGTACTACTTATTCTATTAATGTTATTAATACATATAAAGCACCTGGAATCGTGCATGAAACCATAGACTAGTCAGGCTGGGAATCAGTCATCACCAGGTGACGGATGAGAGGGAAAGCCAGGGCACTGGATAAGATCATTTCAGCAGAGAGTGTAAATAGGAGCAGAAATTTTGAATTCCTAGGAGTCAGGGAGCTAATAAAATCAGCAAAGAGGGTAGGGTTGGTGATCAAGAGGTCAGCTGGTCCCTCTTTTCTGGCCCGACTCCAACCCAGAGTTGCCACAAGGGGATGTAGGCCCAGAGGAGCCAGTCTTAAGTCCGGGAGCCGAGGCTATCTCTCTGTGGGCCTGCCTACAGGGCCTTCCAGGACCTCCAGATCCTGTTCCTCCAGTTGATGTGGCCTCTTTTTAGGTGTTTGGATGCCTTCAGACAGGTCCTCCTATCATTTTTGGGCTGTGGTTGTTAACTTGTAGGTTAGTGAACAGGCTTTAGGGGGCTCTAAGAATCTCCTCGGAAATTGTATGCAAAATTGTATAAGGCAACTATGCATTTATTTGGGAAAAGCTTCAACAGATTCTCAGAAGGGTTGGGTGATACAATAAAAATTAAACACCTCTTCACTGACTAAGCATTTCTTCAACCTGCTTCATATTATGTTGGTTTTTAAGTTTATAACATCTTCCTCTCAAGAGCACCAAAAAAAAGTCTAAAATTGTTCAATTAATTTATAAATATGGGGGTTCCCTGGCGGTCCAGTGGTTAAGACTCCGAGCTTCCACTGTAGGTGCGGCCAAAAAAAAAAAAAAGAGTTAAAAGGGGGTTGTAAATTGGGGAGAGTTGTTGTTATAAACCTTTGAACACTACTTTGACAATTTATACCATTTTCATGAAAATAAAACATTAGCTTACAAAATTTAAATGCACCCACATGGAAAGAATATTCCCTTGGCCTTGCTTTGCTTGTTATCAAAGCCAGTGACTCTTTGTGACTTCTTCCACTTCTCTCCATCTCTGCCACCACAGCCACCCCAACCCCACCCCCTAAGCCACTTTCATCTCTTGCCTGGAGGCTCACAGGAGCCTTCTCTCACTTTTCCCCAGTAAACCTTAAACATCATGAAGGCAAGGTCCATGTCTGATTTTGCTCATCATTGTAGGGTATCTGCTCAAAAAGTGTAAACAAATGGACAAATGGCCTCTCCGTGAATAAATAGACCTCCAAGTTCCTGTGGGGTCCTCACTATCAGCCTCCTGTACCCCCGCAGCAAGGGGCGGGGGTCACAGTAGAAGAGAGTGACAGAGCTCTCCCCACCTGCCTTTGCTTCAGAGGAGGACCTGACCCGACAGGGAGAAGCCCGCCAAGAGATCTGTGCATTCAGGATGCTTGGCTGCAGCCTGCCTGGACAGACTGAAGCCTGCTCCACCAGGGGGCTGTGGCCTGCCCCAGGTTGGGTCTTGCAGAATTTAGAGAAGGTTAGAATTGAAAGAAATTGAATTTTGCTTTTGCTTCTGTATTAGTTGTTTGTTTTGTTTTGTTTTTTATTGCTGCTGTAACAAGTTACCACAAACTTGGTGGCTTAAAACAAAAAAATATATTATCTTACAGTTTTGGAGGTCATAAGTCCTAAATGGGTCTCAATGGGCTAAAATCAAGGTGTGTTAACAGGGCTGCATTTCTTTCTAGAGGCTCCAAGGGAGAATGTTTTCCTGCCTTTTCTAGCTTCTAGAGGCCACCTCCATTCCTTGACTGATGACTCCCTTCCATCTTCAAAGCCAGTGATGGCTCATCAGATCATCACTCTGACACTGTGTCTCCTGTCTCCCTCTGTGATCTTTGTGATTACGTACATGGAGCCCACCAGATAATCCAGAACGATCTCTCCTTCTCAAAACTCTTAATTTAATCATATCTGCAAAGTACACTTTGCCTGCCATGTAAGGTAACATAATGAGAGATTCTACGAATTAGGACATGGGCATGTAGGGGCATTATTCTGCCTACCACATCCCCTTAATTTGGCCCCTCCCTGGAGATTCTGGATTTATTTTGGGAGCTTGTAGAAACTGCTTCTGTTTATTCACAGGGACACATTGTAAGAAACCATATTCTCTAAAATCATAGATTATCAGACTTTGCTAGTTGAAATCATATCAGTGAGAATAGAACATCCCACTCTTGCCTGAAGGATCTCAGCCAGGCCGGTCACTTTGACACATAAACAGCTGTAGAGCTCAGTTAAGGGGGTTTCGAACAGAACGTTCCGCGTTCAGATTAACACAGTTTCCAAGCAAACAGGACTTCAAGTCCCGTTCTCAGCCAGAGTCTGATATTAATCCCTTTCATACAGCTGGGCTATGCTGTGAGCCTCTAAAGTACCAATTCTTTTAAATTTGACCTACATTGCCTCACCCCTACTCCCACCGCAGGTCCCTGGGTTTATGAATCAGGCGGCTCCGAAACGTCTTTCTCAGGCCATCTTTTCTCGGCTGTGGGGCCGACGGTGGGTGATGGATGGTACAAAGGGCAAGATATAAGTGGGGTGGGGGTGGATGTTACAAGCCGAGGAGGCGGGAGGGGCAGAAGGGAGCCGGGAGCCCCAGGATGAGAGGGGAACACAGGCTATAAGCCAACTTCCACTGTCACCTCTGGGCCGAGAGCAGCGTGTCCTCAGTTCTCACAACCACCGCTT